TGAGGAGTGGCTCCACCGCCCACCACTGACTAGCAGAGAGGGCCGTGTCGTACAAGTATGCCCTTTGCCACTGATTGGAGAGGGACAGAGCCGCATGACAGGCAGCCCTCTCAGCCAGTCAGCGGTGAGGGTCAGCAGCCATTTTGCCTTCTTGTCAGCAGCCTCCCTCCACCCTTCCCTGGGCTGGGCCGTGTGGCTGGAAGGACTGCTGGGGAGCCAGCACTTTATTTCTTAGTAAGTCTCTCTTCCCCCACCCCCCACAACAGAGATTGCCCAATTTCACAATTTCTGTGAAATCTGCACAGTCGCAATTTGGATGGGTCCCTAATCATCGGGGATCTGGGTTTTCTGTTTCCCACAGAAAAACGTAGAAAACCACAGATTTCCTGTTTTATCAGAGAAAATGTGGATTTTCCCTCTTAGCAGAGAAACCTGCAGATTTCCCCCTTTTGCAAACAGCTCTCCAGGCGGGTAGAGTTCCAGCCTGCAAGGGCTAATTGCAAAAAGGGCGGGAAACCCCCAACCCTGCTGGGAGAGTGGGGGAAAGGGCGGGCCTGACGCTTACCAGAGGCTTGCCTCAGGCTCGTTTGCATTCCTGGAGCCTGTAAGGTAAGTGGGGCTGGGGGTTGCGGGGCAGGGCTGGATGGGAAGCTGGGTGGAGGCTGAGGGAGCAAGGAGGTGTTGCGGGGAGACATGGAGTACCCACCGGCCAAGTGGATGCTCCATGTGGGGCTTTCCCCCAACATCTCCCCTTCCCTCAGCCTGGGTGGGTGGGGATGGAGTGGGGCACAGCAGTGTCATCTATCCCGGCACGTTCCTGTTGCTCCTAACATCGGGAGGGGGCACGCCAGGTGCACAACACCACGGCTTCTCCCCACCCCCCACCTTGGCTCGGTCTGTGCCTGTTCCTGGGGGGGTGGGGGGGCAGTGGTGCCCCTGTGCGGGCTACATACCCCCGCCCAGCCAGGGGGAGGGCTTGCACGCAGTGGCCGTTACCGTGCCCTGTGCTCCTTGCCCACAGCCAACTATGAGCAAGCGGTGTGGTGACGGGCACCACCGCTGCTGTGTCACCACTGCCCTGCACTACTGCTCACGTGTGGCGCCATGGCACTGCTACGCCCCGTGCTGCTTGCTTGCAGCCGGCTGCAGGAAAGCAGTGCAGGTGTGGCAACGGCAGTGGTGGCTGCCCCGTGCCACTTGCCCGAAACCAGGTGTGTGCAAGTAGCGTGGAGCATGGCAGCAGGGGTGCAGCGGTGGTTGCCGTGTGCGAGTCTCCCTCTTCCCCTGGCCAGGCAGGTGTGTGTGGCCCACAGAAGGGCACCACTGCCCTCGCCCCCCAGGCCCTGCTCCTGGGAGCAAGCACAGAGATGCATTCCCTCCCCTCCCTGCCGCCCCTGCTTCTTAATCTGGCTCCCCCATCCCCTTCCTTTTTACCTGCCCTGCACTGCCCCTTCCCCACACACACCCCTACTTGCTGTGGTGTGTGTGTATGTCTGCATGTGTTCATCTGTGCCTGTGTATGGGGAGAGTAAGGGGCACCAGCAGGGCTGGGGGGCGCTTTAATTTTAAGCATGGATTTTGGGGGTTTTATCAGAGAATTTGCAATTTTGGGGGGAATGCAACTATGGTAGTCTTGCTGCCACCTTGACTGCTGTTGGGATAAGAAAGCTAGGTACATGTACAACTTTAACTAGATGTTTGTTGCATGGATCTTGTTCCAGGTGAGAACAACATGTCTCTTGGTGGTTTGTTCTGCTTGTAGTTAGAAGCAAGATGTTTATGCATATGACTTGCAGCATTTTTAGCATTAGCTTGACCTTCCCCCCATCTTTCTTCCTTGAGCTGAGATGTTAGAATGAAGCAGGTCAGAATAATCAGAGAAACAAATTTATTATTCTCATTAGTTAAACATAAATAATTTTTTCCAAGAAAGCTAATAAAGATATCTGAAAAGTAAAATAAACTAGGGAAGTATATAGGAATCAAAGCTCATGGAAGAGGTGGTATCTTGTATTAGACCAACTAGATATTTGCAAACAATTTTTTTTTTATTATTTGCAAGCTTTTGGGGGCGCACACCCTTTATCAGGCATAGGAGAGAGAGCAGAGATTGTAAAAGTTTTCCTAGGTAGAAATGAAAATTCATATTTCATATACATAGGGAAGTATATGTCACTTGACATAATTTAAGGGAAAGAAAAAAGCATTGTTCTTTGATCCTTTCATCCAATTTTTCACTGAGCTAGTGTACAGTTATGGGCAAACCAAAAATTTGCTTCTCTTAGAATGTCAATTATGGCATAAGTACCAAAGGCATTCTGTTACAGTTAGCTTATGACCAGGGATCCTGGTTTTCCATTTCCCATGGGAAAACAGAGAAAACCACAGATTTACCCTTTTTGTAGGAGAAAATGCGGATTTCTCCTTTTAGCAGAGAAACCCGTGGATTCCCTGCTTTTGCAAACAGCTCTGCGAGGCGGGGGGACGGGGGGGGGCGACAAGGATGGGGCCTGAGGCTCTCAGTCAGCCACAGCTCGGCTCGACTCAGCTTCACTCTTTGCTCCTGGAGCCTGAGGTAAGTGGGGCTTGCAGGGCCTGGGGGCCCATCTGTCAGGGTTGCGGGCCATAGCTGGGGGGCACCAGCAGGGTTGCGGGGGGCGGGCCAGGAGCCAGCTCTGCCCCCACCTGCGCAGGCAGAGCAGTGGAGGAGCCAGCTCCATGTTGTTTCTGCTGCAGCTGCCTGCTGTTAGGGGCAAGGAGCTGCAGACTTGGGTCCCTGGCCCCATGGCCCTGGCAGCTGGGGGCCCCATCCGGCAGGGGCTGTGGGAGGGGGCAAGAGGCACAAGTGGGGTGAGGGGCTGTTGTAGGGGCAATGAGGAGCACCAGCAGGGTTGAGATGGCTTTGGGGGTGAGTGAGAGGCACCAGCCAGGGCTGCAGGGGGCATTGGGGGCAAGTGAGGGGCACCAGCAGGGCTGGGGAGGGGCTGCAGGGGGCTTTTAATTTTAATAATGGATTTATGTGGTTTTATCAGAGAATTTGTGATTTTGTTTTTTATCAGAGAAAACCAGGATCCCTGCATATGACCATCAGTTTTTTATGGCATGCTGTATAATCTCTGTCTAATGATGAATATCTGGTAACTAATATTGAGGCAGAGTGCTTCTACTCCTAGGTTGCTGTTTTTCCAGGCCTAGATTGATAGTAACTGCCAGTCACATTACTTGCTGTTTTAGTCCACCTAACAATCACACGTGAAAGGTATTGATCTTAACCTGTTTTCTAGTGGGTAGGAGTTAATGTCAGAAACCAATCAAAATATAAATGTAAAGTATTAAAACTGACATTCTTAGAAATTTCAAGTATAGAAACAAGGAAGATAAGTGTGAAAAGTAAAATGCCTTCTTAGCTTCAAATGCTGATTGTACCTCTTCTGTGGATAATGTGGTACTTCATTATACAGCTGTTAGTTTGACCCCATACGCGAGTGATGCTGTGTTCACTCTATAAAAGAGGGAGATGGGACAACTTAATTGCATGAATAGACTGGCTTGTTTTTTAAAAACTAATCAGGGGAGAAGATTCTTGAACTCACCCCCAGAATAACTCTTGTGTATCCTATTTATATAGCAGGGGCTCAAAATTATGTGAGACTTGAATTTGTATGTACTGCTGGACTGCTGTCAAAACAATGCTGTTGTACAGAGAGACCACTGATTATTTTATTTATTTATTTATTTACTTATTTTAAATACCAAATAGCTGGCCAGTGTCCAGGATGAAAATCAGTGTTGTGTACCATTTGAGAATTTGGAATGAAATGTGTAAGAGGAATATGCATGCTTGACTTACTAATTTATGAGAAATGCGTATACTGTGGCAAAAAGTAGGGGGGTTGATTGAGGGGAGGGGACATAGGAGAACCTGTTACAGTACTGTATAATATGTATTATCTTGGCTACTAGTGATAGTTGGTATTTGTAATCTGAGGGTGTGATACTACATCAACACGTTGCCTTGAAACATTTGATTATACAGACTTCTTTTTGGTTTTACATAGTTCATGAAGTAAATGTGGCATATAGAATAAATCCAGGAATAGGGTTCATCAGAATGACATACATAGACAAGAAATTGTTCTTTCCAGTTTGAGCAAGAGTGTGTAGTAGAAAATGATTTAATTCACTCAGACTGTGGAGCATGGGTTGGTATGTCTACAATGTGATTCCCTCAGACCAGCTGTTCCTCTTCTAAACTTGATGCCAGATCAAAATAGCTGTGTGATGGTTACGACTCTTTTAGTGCTAGCAAATTTTATGGTGACTGCTGTGAACTTGGAGTGAGTTGTAGCTATTTTATGTCAGCTTTGATTTACTGTGTCAAGAGATCAGAGTAACTTTAACTCCTGACATTTACTTGTCGATAGCATACTGATAAATATTCAGTGTAGGAATGTTTTGAGGGGAGGGCAGGGGGGGAGGTTTAGAATTCTATTAAAAATAAGAATGCAAGAGAGCAGTCTAAGTGTCCATGTTTGAATGCAGATCTGTTACCACCCCAGTAAAAATTTTCCCCTCTGAACACTTACCAGACTGCTGTGTCAGTACCCCATCACACCAAAGCAATGTGTTTTAATCTGTGCGTGTTATTTTCAGCAGGTACTTTTTGGTGCCCCTGGTGCAGATCCCCAGTCCATAACCCCATTAGATTTCTCAGAGCCCGGTTTCCCTATGAACCCAGAAGTAGTGCAGCCCCTAAAAAACATGTGGCCAGCCTGGAGAGGGTTCAGAGGAAAGCCACCCGCTTGGTGAGAGGGCAGCAGGACAGGCCCTACGAGGAGAGACTGAAGGACCTGAACCTGTTCAGCCTCAGCAAGAGGAGGCTGAGGGGAGACCTGGTGGCTGCCTACAAGCTCATCAGGGGGGATCAACAGCAAATAGGCAGAGCTTTTTTCTCCCCATCACCACCTGGGGTGACGAGGAACAATGGCCATAAGCTGATGGAGAATAGGTTTAGGTTGGAGATCAGAAGGCAATATTTTACAGTTAGGGTGGCCAAAATCTGGAACCAACTTCCCAGGGAGGTGGTCCTCACCCCTACCTTGGGCAAATTCAAGAGGAGGTGGATGATCACCTGTCTGGGGTCTTGTGAACCCAGCATTCATTCCTGCCTGTGGCAGGGAGTCAGGCTAGATGATCTGTTCAGGTCCCTCCTGACCCTAGCTACTATGAAACTATGTTAGTTGCTTAACATGTTTCCAGATCTGGTTCCGTTTCATGGCTTGCACTTCACTTCTTCTTCAGGTTCTTTTTTTTTTTTTTTTTTTTTTTTGTCCTGGAGCCAATTTTAAAGCTGCCTTTATTCATTCTCTAGCTTTTCTTGGGATTTGAGCTCATGGCTGACACGTCTTGTATTAAGATGATGATGGTACTAATTTTATAAAATTAATAAGTTGCATATTTACTGCTTAAGTAATCACAGTAATATCTTGGGAAAATGGTTTTATCCCTCTTTTAAATATTTGTGACTGTTTCCTATTAAAATTCACCTATAACAAATTCTAAGTTTTAGGTGACAAATTCAGCCGTTTCTGTTGGTGCAGACAGATTTGGAATGTAAAAAAAAAAAAAAAGATGATGTTCTTTAACGAAGCTACTTCCATTGCCAGTCTGGTTTGTTTTGGTTGGTTTTTTTTTTTAATAATTTAGTTTGTTTATTTATTTTATCCACACTGATTCTGGAATTGTGAACACTGTTGTGGTCCTTCTGTAGTAACTAGTGCTACTCATAAGAAGTCAACACGTTTATACTGCAACTTGAGCATTGTTGTAGCAAACTAGAACAGAATAGTTTTAAATGGATATAAACTCTCTTGAGAGACTGTATAGTGTGGTAGGCCATGCAGTGACCTAGAAAGCAGGTCGAATAGGTATAGATAAGTGATTCTCAACCAGGGTTTCCCATGATCCTTTCATGGGTGTTTTGGGGTGCCATTCAGTTTTAGTACTGTTAAGTGTGCAAGCATGGTTTAGAAGATGCACCAGAGTTTTCAGATAGGACTCCATAGTGTTAAAAACATTCTGACCTGTTGTGGTCTGAGTTTCTTGCAGAAGAAGAATTGCTCTGTTTTTTTTTTTTAACTACAGAAAAAGAGTAAAAACTAAGCTGGCTGTTTTCAAAGGATGCCTTGAGTCTAACAGGTTGTGAGCCACTGGCATAGATGCTGTGCTAGCCAAAGAAATCTGGTATCATCAGGTACCTTCAGCTTTTTGCGCTTCCTCTTACCAACTCCTTCCCCACCCCCCCGCCTCCAAAAAACAAACAAACAACCCCAAATGAACAACAAAACAAACTCCTTTGTCTTTGCCTCAACAAACTTGTTCATTTTTTGCCTCAACTATAATCAGCCGCATGTTTTCCTTCATAGTATATTTTTTCTTTATCAGTTTCAAGTAGTATTTTTGTCCTTTCTATTTCAGATTTAGCTTTGGAATCGAATCCATCTGATCATCCCAGAGCAAGCACAATTTTCCTGAGCAAATCCCAAACTGATGGTAAGGTTAACAACCTTTTTTCCCCTTTCTGAAAAGGGAGAAAGGAGCATGGTAGAATATTGAAGAAAAAAACTGGCTATTTTAATTACACGTCAAGTTTAACTTGCTTTGTATTTCAGCTTGCTTGAAAAGGGGCTACTAACACAAGAATTTGTAGGTGTTTATAGAAATGTTTTACCCAGACTATTTCATAATGACAATTTATGTCATTTAACCTTAACATCATCTTGCCATTTCATTGGATTTTCCTGATATTTTGTATTAGTTTTGGGATACTACTAGTTTGAAAGAGCAGGGTTGTCTTCTTTCATGGTAACATTAATCCAGCTGAAGGAGATTGTGGTTTTATAACCACGACTTCAAAAAAGTCTGTGTATAAAACGAATCGGCATTAATAAGTTGCATATTTACTTCTTAAATGATCACAGTACTATCTTGAGAAAATGGTCTTATCCCTTTCTTGAGTATTTGTGACTGTTCCCTATTAAAAGTCACCTATAACAAATTTTAAGTTTTAGGTAACAGATTTAGCTTTCTGTTAGTGGAGATAGATTTGGAATGTAAAATCTGAACTGTTCTTCACTTTAATGAAACTACTTTCATAGTGGTTTTATAACCAAGACTTAAAAAAAATCTGCTCCTAAGTAGGAAGCTGTCCCTAATGATTTTGGGGGGGGCTAAGCCATCAATTTCTCCCTGTTCATATACAGTTAGTGCGCAACCCACACAGCATACTTGAGTTCCTCTACCAATGGGGTAGTTTTCCTTTTAAAAAAAATTGCAAACAAAACTTTTTATATGAGAGATCCAGCCTGGGAACTGACAGTATAGTTAAATAATGAACCAAGCTGAATATTCGATAGCATTTTATATAAAGATGCATTGATATATCAGTCGCATATCAGATTGGCACCAATAAAAGGAGAACTTATCAGCAATCAGCTTTTTTTGGCCGGTGTAGCCGATAATGTCACCGATAAATGCCACACGCATATGCACAGCTGCAGCATGCACACAGCCAGGAATGCAGCCTGGCAGCTTGGAGAGAAGCCTCCAGCTGGTAAGTCTGTGAGAAGCGGGGAAAGGGGCATGGGGGAGAGAAGGGGTGCGGGGATGCAGATCGAGGTCCCTATGGTGAGGGAAGAAGTGGAGCAGGGGCAGGTGCTGCCCAGCCAGGGCAATGAACACAACACCAGAGCTGGGAGCGTGATGGAGCCGCAGGGAGATGGGGCAGCTCCTGCAACTGTGCACACCTCCCGGAAAGGCATGATTGGAGTATGTGCCCCTCCCCAGATTTCTGCACGGGGTGAGAGTGGGCTTCCTGCTGTGGGCTCGGGGCCAGGGGCTGCACCCACCTCTTCCTGGTTGGGGGGGCTGGGCTCTGAGCCGGTGGGGGCAGGGTGGGCAGCAACAGTGCTGGCAGGGGTGGATATGGGGTGGGCTATAGCCACCCCTTCCAGCACTGCTGTCACCCACCCTGCCCATTTGGATCCCAGCCCCCCCGGAAGAGGCTGGTGCAGCCCCTGGCCCTGAGCACATATCTCATGAGGTACATGTCCCCCCATGCCTCCCCTGGGGGTGCGTGGAGCAGCAGGGATCACCCCCACCCCAACTCCCTTGTCCCCTACACAAGCCACCTGCAGCTCCGTCCCGCTTCCGGTGCCAGGGTCTCGTTCCCTGCCCTGGCTGGGTAGCCCCTGGCCCTGCCCTTGCCCCACTCCCTCCCTCACTGTGGCAGCCTCGATCTGCCCTCCTACCCCACCATGTTCCTTTCCTCCCACAGACTTACTGGCAGGGTGCTGCTCTTGAAACTGCCAGGCTGCATTCCAGTAAATCAGCTGTTGAATCAGCATTGACCGGTATGAATGGTTAATAATCAGCCATTGGTACTGGCCAAGAAAATCTTTATTGGTACACCCCTAAACGAATATGCAAATTAAACTGAAAAAGCAGAGAAATATTTTTATCGTTCCTCTGTAAATGTGTGGAACAATAAGTTTAAAAAACTAGGTGTTTTCAATGTTTTTGTCTAAAGTGTCTGTATTTTTTATAGTAATAAACATAATGTCATAAAGGAAAACTAATGCCGTTTGTATTAACAGACAGCTTCAATATTTTTGCTGCCTGTATAGCTTTCCTGAAGAACTGTTAAATTGATAAGTCTGTTAGTTTCAGTGCCACAATTCAGAATCCTATGAATAGTAGTAAAATTTGGTCAGGTAAACTTTATGATGTTTGGGAATTATCCAGGCAGCAGAGGCAGGTGTTGGTCATATTTGTGGAAGAGAATACAAAGAGAGGACTAGAGGAATTAGACATCTATTGAGGGCTCTGGATGAAGTCTAGAGTTGCAAATTTAAGACCCATAACGGGTCCTACTTTTAATTTGTATTTTGAAACTTGATGCAGTTTGAGCATGACTAGTATGATTGCCAGTATGCAGTTATTAAGTTAAAACTGTTGAACCAGATGATAGTCTTGCGTGGGAGCAGTGTTGCTTAAATATGGTTCATTATTAAAACTGTTCACTAAAACAGATTTTATGGGACTTCTCCATGAGGAGAGAGAGCAGATCCAGTCTAGATTTTACTGGGTCTACTTTACTCTTAAACCTTGTGTGAAGTTGGTAAAATCAGTAACTAGTATGTTGATACTATCATCAAGACCATGAATTTTTATTTGGTAGGACTGTCATTTTGACACACATTTTGAAGTGCTAGTAACTTGGTAGATGTAGGAAGATGTAATGTAGTCCTGACTTTGGAAAGCTACCAGTTCCAAGTCAAAAGTTGAAAGTTTGGAAACAAGGTACCTTTATTATAAAAGCAAAGTGGCTGGACTGGGTTATTAAGCAATTTATTTTCTCTTTAGAACTGTGCGGCCACATCCACATGAGTGTGGACATTTGTTTCCTTGGGGACAAATAGTAGCAGCATGCCTTGTGCCACAGCTAGTTGTCCCTGGGGAATACCTGCACCCTCTGGCGCATAGCATGTTACCCTGGATGGGGTAGGGGAGGCTGGGGCCAGCACTGAGTTGGTCCCAGTAGCGTTACCTGGGGTCGTGGGGGCCTTGTGAGGCTGCAGCAGCAGTGATCCTGCTGCTTGGAGCCTGGCCAGCAGCCAGAGCATGATTCTGGCCAGCCAGGCTACAGTTTTGAGTGGTGTGTGCTGCCCCTGCATGCACTGCTCTGCATTTTATATTTTGCACAGATTTTTTGACCCCTGAATATCCCCCACCCTTGCAGTGCATAGAACAGCTGAATGTGTGGTATGTGGTGTTGTAGACACATCTGCGGCACCACATACCGCACAGCCATGCTCATCTGGACACAGCCCGTGTGTATAAATACCTTCAATACTTCTTTGTTTGGCTGTCCTAATTCTGTTTACTGCTACAACGCAATAGCTGACTTTTAATTTCTTACTGTTTTTAAGACTGATCCAGCATAGTATGGTAAAACTGCAGTGGTTCCAGCCATCGTGCTCATGGATGGAACAGAATTTTGCTCCTTTGGCTAGGTGGCTTTGTCCCCTGCCCTGAATCTTCAGTAGAACAAAGCACTTCACCTTTTTAAATATCTGTATCATGACAGAATCACATGGCTCTTTGACCTGATACCAGACTATACATGTGAAGTGAATTTAAATATGGCAAGGCATTGTCCTGCTGTGCAAAACACTGAGAATATAATATACTGTTATCACTTCTGTTAACTAAAATAGAAGCTATGCAGGTACAGTAAAAAAAAAAAAAAAAACCCCAACAAAAAAACAACAACCCTAATTAGGACTTGAGCTGATGAAACTACTGTGAACATGGGAATTTCTTGCCAGTGTGCTTACAATAAGCTAAGTAGGTAGGGTATCTTGGAAGAGTTACAAGCCACAGACTTTTAACCTGGATATAAAATACAGATCTGGCATAAGTAGAAATGAAATGCTGCAGTTTGGACAAGCTTGGATGCATGCTGTTATGGCAGTAAGTGGGTTTGTCAATCAAGCTTCGTGCTTCAGTTATTTGTTATGGTTAAAGTACAAATAAATTAATCATAGGAGAGTTAATGGAGGGGGCAGTAGATAAAGTGCTAATTGACAGACCTTGGAAAGCCCACCCTGCTTCCCCCCCTTAGTCTAGATCCAAGCTTTTCTTTACCTTCAAAGAAGACACAAGCTATTAAGAAGATACATTAATGGAAAACTCTTACCTGAATGTCAAATTGTCTAGCTTAATTCTGTCCTCTACTTAATGTAAAACCATTGTAGAATCTAGGTACTCATTTGTAAAGTGACTGCTTTTTTAGTTAGGTCAATAAGTTCTTGAGGAATGGGCCAACTATTTACTCTGTCTATCTAAAACTTAGGTGACTTTTCCTTCCATAGTGTGGTAGTGTCAGAAATATTTGTTGACAAGTATTTCCATCTAAATATGGAGACCAGCTACTAGGTGTTGTAAGACTTACTCAGCTTCAGACCCTAGGGTGTCTTTATTCTACATGTAAGATGAATAATGTCTCACGTGTAAAGCTTTTATTAAAAATTTCTGGCTGTAAATAGTTTTTAATTATGCTCTAAACATTTTCAGTGCTACAGCCCATTATATGACTGAGGCAAATGAATAATACAATTTTGAGTTACTGTAAACTGAATTTACACTTTACTAGTTACAGGTGAATCTGAGCTGCAAATACGCATTTATGTTTTATAAAGCTAATATTTTTCTTGTCCTCCCATCAGAATTTTTTTGTCCCTTTCTCTCTCTTCCCTTTCTAGTGCGAGAGAAGAGGAAGAGTAATCATATCAACCATGTAAGTAAGACAAACTATTAAATATAAATGTTCTTTGTTCTTATTTCATTGTTCCTTAAGCAATTAAGTTCTAGAAAGAGATTGAAAGTAGTTTTGGGTCTTCTTTTTAACCAAAAGTTCCCTAATTGGTTCCCTTGCTTTATATATAGTTTGCCTATCTTTAAAATTTGCACCCCTCTCTCTCATGTTGGTATGTGAAAGATCTATGCCTGCAGGTATGATAGAGCAGAGCAATGTCACAAGCACAACATTGACATTTTTTTTTTTTTTTGCACTTATCTAGTGTGGTAATTATAACCAGTTGCAGGGGGGAAGACTGAGACAAATGTGACTTAATGACTCTAAATAAGAAATAAAATCAGGTAAATTTTTAAAAGTTTTGATGACGAGATTTACTGTAGTCAGTAAATACTTCCTGTTTAGTGTTGCTATATAAAGGCATTTTTTAATACCACTAGTCTTCAGTGAAGTGCCTTTAAGTGCTATTTTTTTTTTTTTGTTAAAACGAAGTAAAACTGGAGCTGAGGTGGTCAACTAGCAGAAATTATTGTATATTGTAAAAACATACAAATATGCAAACTTATAATTTTTTTCATCCTTCAGTGTATGATTGCGTTATTCTAAAGAGCAAATCTTTTTTGATTTCAATCATTGTTCATTGTCTTTTGAAAATTTTAAGATCTCTGTCAAATTCCACTTTAGAATTGCTGTCCTGCTGCTGCATGCTTACCTTCAGAAACATGTTAACATGTAACACACCTCCAAGTGAGTCTGTACATGCAAGGGATGTCACAAGCATTTTAAGGTGTTCTAAAGATGGAAAATTGATTGACTATGGAAAATATTTATTTTCAAAGGTCTTTGAGTCTTCCTGAACTATTGTACATTTTGGCTCTTGCAATTATTGTACATTAGACAAGGATCATGTTGACTGTAAAAATATAATTAACAGTGTATATCACTTTACATCTGGCAACACCAGCAGTATGAGAGAATTAATGGCATGATAAATGGGCCAAGGGGATGCCTCCCAGTAACTCCCACTGTTTGTTTTTTTAAAAAAGGGGTTTGTAAAACTACTTGGTGCCCAACAAGTCTAAACATGCTGTTAAAAATGAAACATTGTTAATGTAACAGGGTGCATTTTACCTAGGGTATCTTCAGATATCTTTGTTTTAAAATTAAAGTCAATTCTCTCTGCTAAGACCTGTTTAAGGACCAACTTGCTTGTTTTTACTGGAGGACTAAAGAACTGGAATTGGTTCTCTGCCTGAGCATCAGCTGAGAAGTCTGAAGGCTATTCTAGCTTTTGCCAAGAGAGCTGTTTTAAATCTGGAGATATGGCATTGAGTAGATGTTACCAAAAACAAATGAGTCTTGATTTTATCATAGAAACAAAGAAATTAAAGGCTGGAAGGGACCTTGAAAGATCATAGAGTCCAACCCTGCTGCTCTGGACAGGAATACTGTTGAGATCAAGTGATACCAGCAAGGTGTCTGTCTGTCCAGTCCTCTTAAAGACTTCCAAGGTTGGGGACTGTACCACCTCCTTGCAAAGTCTATTCCAGATCCTGGTCACCCTTTACCATAAAGAAGTTCTTCCTTGCATCCAACCTGAAACCATCCTCTAAGAGTTTATGGTCCTTGCTCCTTGTCCTCCCCTGGGGTGCCCTAGCGAACAGTTTTTCTCTTAGCTCCTGATATTCACCCCTTACATACTTATAGATGGTTACCAAGTCCCCACTCAGTCTTCTCCTCCCCAGGCTGACCGTCCCAGATCCCTTAGTCATTCCTCATAAAGTTTGTCCTCCAGGCCCTTAATTATTCTTGTGGCCCTTCCCTGGACCCTTTCACGATTCTCCACATCTTTTTTGAAGTTTGGTACAGTTTTTGAGGTATTCTCCAAGAAAAAAAGGAAATACTGAACTTTTAGTATTAAAATTCAGGAAAATCTTTTTTAAAAGCAGCCTAGGTAGTGAAATATATATTCGTGCACTGGAGGGAAGGATCCAGCTTCCATATACAATATTTACTCGAATCCAAAATGAGGGGGTTTTTTCTCAGTTCAACATGGGGGCAGCAAGTGGGGAGACACCTTCAATCTTAAGATTCAAGTACTGGCCTAGGGGAGGCAGCTACTGCAACTTGAGCCCCAGCCCAAGCTCCAGAGTTGGAGCCACTACCTGTCCCAAGCTGGGGCTGAAGTGACTCATGCAACAGAGGGAGTATGGCCCAGGGGATGCACAGCTGGGAAGTGCAGGAGAGATGTGCAGAAGCAGGGGAACTGCTGTGGCTCTGGTTCTGATTCAAGCCTGAGGCCAGAACTGCAACAGATGATTGCCCTCAGTCAGAGCTGCTACCAGTGCAGCTCCCTGGCTTGCTTGGGGCTAAAGCCATCATATGCTCTGTACTCCAGACAGGTGCTGGGGGTGAGGCAAGTGACAGGGGTAGGGGGCAGGCACTTGGGGTGGGGCAAGTATTGGTGGGCAACAGGCAGAGGGACAAGTGACCAGGGGCGCAGGGAATGAATTTAAGACAACATTCTGATAATTTGATTTTATACGTGGCAAAATATAACAGCTGTGTTATGCTTTCAGTTACAGAATCTAGTGGGGGGGGTAGTCTTAAATTCACAGTTGTCTTAGATTCAGTTAAATATGGTATTTATCAGTTGAAACCTTCATTGTGCCTGACTTTTCCCTCTAAGGTTTCCTTAGAGGGGAACCTTAGAGGGAAATTCCCTCTAAGGTTTCCTCCTTAGCCTTCAGCTATAGCTCTAGGCAATGTTAAGTTCTCCAGGCAGTTTGCACAATAATTCAAAATGTGGGACATTGACTAAAGTGAGGTTTTATGTAAAACTGAATTTTTAAGTGATGTGGTATTCAATGCCCCAAATGTGTCTCCAGTTTAGGATGTCATGTAAAAGAAAGGGTGGAAAAAAATAGGCAGAAGTAGGAGCCAAAAAACAGTTGGGGTAAGGAAATATAAGAACATACTTAAGGATTGAGGCCGGGGAGAGTGGTATGCACCTCACCAAAGCTCACAATTTTTGGACATGGTAGTGGGTGTGCACTGGAGGGAGTAGAGTGGAAATGTCGGGGGTGGTATAGATTTCTGTAGTATGTGCTGTGGCTAAATAAATGAATAGCTAAACTCAAGTTCATTGATTCATGTCTAAAACTAAAATTTCACAATATTGGTTGTGTTCATATATACATGCAGTCCTTTCAGATGGGGTAGTGTTTTGAGTAATTTGACTGAACAGATAGCTTAGATGCCAAGAGCCTTCATTTACAAATACCTCCGGTTTCATACATTTACCTTTTGGATGAGTGAATGGAGTTGTAAACCCAAAATCCAAACTGGTAAAAGCACTTCTCTTATCTGTGTTAATCTTTTTTTTTTTTTTTAAGGTTTCTCCGGGGCAGCTTACAAAAAAGTATAGCTCGTGCTCAACAATATTCATAGATGACAGCACAGTCAGCCAGCCTAATCTTAGAAGCACAATAAAATGGTAAGTACCATTCTAATCACAGAAGGGACAGGGCAGCATTGCAAGCTTTTTCTTTGGGAGTAGTAAATTGTGCTGGTATATTTCATTCGAGGTATTTGATTCTGGTACGAGTCCAGTGCTGCTCATCCTTGGCAGTTTGCTCTTGGAAAAAAGCTGCAGAGTCTGGGGGATAAGTTAGATTTATAGAAGTATGATGGGAAAGCTTTCTTTTGCCAGCCAGTACTGCAGATCAAGGCTGTTGACTTTTACATATTTCAGTACAGCCATTGTCAATTCACCTGATGATTTTTTGTGTGGAACTGGGGTGTGTCAGCCTCTGAATAAAAAAGGGTTGTTTAATTGTTGAAAATAAAAGCAGAAGCAAAATCCCTTGAAATGGTGGTGTGAAAATAGTCTTACTTCAGCTGTGATGTTGTTCTGCCCTCTAATGGTAGCAAACTATAGTGCGGTTTCCTTTTTGGTTCTGTAGCCTTTCCACTATATTTCAAAGTATGTTTGCTATTTTTAGATGCATATGTTTTTAACAACTCAGTCTTTGTTGTTCACCATCTGAGATGGCTTTTTGGTCCACTTGCTGCTGATGGTGGAGGGAAAGCCACTTCCCTATGGGAACAGTCATTACCTGAGATTGCTGTTAAGAGGCATTCCTATATTTTTCATGAAAGCAGTACACTTGTCAGCAGAAAGATTGAGTAAAACTTGGAAGCATGTTAAACTTTGGATTTGGCTTGTTGAATCTAAGGTTGATAGTGATGCTTATCTGCTTTGCCAGAGTGAACATGTTAGTAGAGAGTTCTGGGCTAACCCATCTCCTCTTGTCCAGTCTCTGCCACGTGGCATATCCTTCTGGCAGTGATTTAGCTGTTGTACTGGGCAATCCTAACCCTGTTTAGGACTTGATAAGTATTTTAAATCTCTAAACTTGAACTAGTAGGACACTGCGTGGTTCAGAATTGTAAAATAATCTTTTTTTATAGCTAGCCTCTCAACTATGACCCTGAATAATAAAGAGCTGGAAAATGTTTCTTTGACATGTTGACTGAATGTAACAGTCACAATTTTCCCTCTTCCTCTTGGCCAGTACTAGTAGTGATTTATGTAAAGGCTGCTTCATTACCTGTGTGAAATTAGTTTAATTCCTGGTATGTAGGTATCCACCTCCAACCATTTAGTTGGCAACAGTGGCAAATATGACAAGGACTGAAAGGGCAAGAGACTGAACTTGAATATTGTTTCTTGCTGGGCTCGTGACTCAACATGTGCTGGAGCGGTCCCTCGTATACTTTTACTTTGGCTAAACATAGGCTTTAATCTCTCCAGGGCTGTTAAATCAGTGATTCTTTGTCATTTAAATTAACTTTTAAAAGCTTTTAAGAGAGGACAGATGCTTTACTGTGCAGTTATAGTTATTATAATATTTCTTACAGATGTTGAAACACTATATCTTGAGCTAAATCTCAGCAAGTGTAATTCTCTAAGGTCGTATTTTCCTAACACGAGGCTCTGGCTGTGGAGCAGGGGAAGGAGTTGGGGGTGATGGCATGGGGGTACCATCAGATTAGGGATTTTGATATCTTCACTCAAGATGGCATTCAGCATCACCTGGTGGTGGGGGGAGGAGCAGGTCAAAACCGTAACTCTGTTGGCTTGGGGACACTTTCCTATGTAGCTGCTGGGACCCTTGACCACGCCTCAACTTGTCTACTGCCAGAGGCTGTAGCTTCCCAAGGCACAAACCCTACCAGATACTCTTCTCTGCTATTAGAGGCAAAGATATGTTGCTAGCAGCTTCCCTTGGTTCAGTCTCTTGTTTAAATAGATATGACTGTCTCTTGTCATTGTACTCCGAACGCCATTATTGACTGGCTGATTCTTGACTAGCATAAAGGACAGATATTTCAACCTATAAACTGCATTTACCATAAAGGTATCAAGAAAATATTGAACCCTTGTGAGTCAGTTGTTTTTTGACTTTTTGAGTCGTAAACTTCCCCTCTTTCCTCGATAAACAAGCATGCATTTAATCTGTGCACTTCACTTCTTGGATGAGATGAGAGGATATGAATATGCACACACACACACACACAGCATTTCAAGTGAGTTTAACAAATTGAGTGGCATCTGTTCTGGCTAATATCTGTTCACTTTTGCAAACATCAGAACTGAGGGATGGGGGAGCTTGTGTCAAAAATGGCTTAGGTACGTCAGGGAGCCTATTTCATTTTAACTTCAGCAATGGCTCAAGCTGTAAATGGGTTGCAGTAAGTTTCTCTCCTGAGCTGCAGCATGTGTGTCAAGATGGAATGCACAGAATATGCTTCAATAAAATGACATTATCTTCATTTCTCCCCTCTGCTTTCCTTTCAGTGTGACATTAGCAATATACTACCACATAAAGAACAGGTAAGTACCCTCAAGATCTGTCTCTTGTTAAGTAAAATAACTGTCCTGTAATTGAGTCAGTTATGACCAAATAATTTGAGTTACCTTTGGTTTAATAGCTAATAGTTTGGTTTTGGTAGCTTTATAGTTCATTGAAGCCCCCTCCCCATGCTTTCCCTCTGCTTGTTGGTGCCATTCACTGACCTTCTAAAACCAGGCCTGTGTTCAACATAACATCAAGGTGAAGAACAAAATGTTAGCAAAAATGAAAGTGGCAAAAATGGGAAACCTTTCTGAATGTATTCTCAAACTAGTATTTAAGTTAAGTTTTGTCCTACTCCCTCCTGAATGAATTGTGTGCAATTAGGCGAATGTAGGAGAACTTTTTTCCTGTGTTTTGTATCCTATAGATACCATGTATGAATTGCCTCAAGTTGTAAGACCTAATTGTTTAAGAGGTAGCATAATAATCTTTGAATTGAGAAATGAATATTGAGGCTTGTAAAACTTTTTCCACCCAGTTTTAGTTGCAAGTCCCATTCAAGTTTTAGAAAGTGGGAATAGTAAGAATAGAATACAAGGACCCTGACTTCTTTAATTCATGAGTGGTCTTAACAGCTGTGGGTAGAGGGATTCCAGCAATGTCCCCTTAACTCTTTGGAGTTATCTTCTCTAGCACTGAGCCCAGTGTTCACTAATAGTTCCTACTGACATTAGCTGTCCTAAAAGAACTAGTTTCTAGGGCAAACAACAGATGTTAGGAAATGTCCAGGCTAGCCTCTCTAGACTTCAGTGTAAGCATATTCTAAGGGTGAGGGATAGGTAGCCCCACTGGGGAGAGGGTTAGTAGAGAGGAAAGATGCCTATAATCTCAACTCCCACCCTCCAGCTTTTGCCGTGTTTTTGGAAAAGGAGGACAGTCCTTTTTTGTTGGGCAAGAAGGGCTGTTCTTTAAGCATTAGACTTAATTGAACCTATTGTGGTTTAAGATCTATGAAAGTGTTTAAGGCTTTGGATTTGAGGTATTGTGTCAGCCTGTGTTACAACATGTACCAACACACTTTGTATAGGCAAGACACACTGTCTACCATAATCTAAATAGAATAAAGACCTCAGAGCAGGCATGAACTTTTCAATAAGGAGCCAACTTACTGAAGCTAAAATGGTTAAAAACAAAATTCATGGGGGGGGTGGGGTGGATAAAGATGCTATTTGACATATTTGATAGCATGGTAACTTTAATATAGACAAGTTGGCTGTAGTTAGCCTGCTGATTTTTAAACCATGGAGAGCCAGAGGTTTGATTTTTGAAGGCCAACATATCCTAAACTGTATATTTAAAACATTCATGACTCCACCTTTGTTTTTTCAAGGAGGTTGGAGCCAGATTGTACTCCTGAAGGAGCTTCAAGGCAGTGTTTCTCAATCAGGGCATTGCTTCACCCGTTAAAGAATCTTGTGGCACCATAGGGTGCTATTCAGTGTTAAGCACTATTAGGCCTGCAAACAATTGCACATGATTCCCAAGATGGAGCAGGGTGGTACCCTTGGGCAGAGGTTCTCAACATTTTTAGACTCTAGGCACCCCTCATCAACCTCAAGGCACCCCCTCCAAAACTTGTCATTTTGAACAGCAGTCCAGTTGAAATACTAATTTATCACATGGCTTACCTCCTTGCAGGGAGGGCTAGGGAGCAGCTAGACCGGGGATCCTGAGCCTACCCATATCTGCTTGTCTCCTCACACCTGAAGCCTGATCCTGCTTTCTGCTGATCTTACACTTCCTGGCACCCTGGTTAAGAATTGCTGCCTTGGACTTGTTCAGAATTTGTTCAGAAATGCAGACGTTTACCAGCCTCCTTTGTCAGGTGCTAAGAATTGAATGATGAAGTTACACTGTTGTCTGCAAAGGCTCATGCATTTCTGAACAAGTCTCTAAGGTGTTGCCCTGCCCTGCCTTCTGCCTGCCTTCAGATTAGCTTGGCTGACTCCCTCTCTATATGATCAAGATAAACCCAGATAATCCATAGTGTCAGAAGTCTGACCTGTTGTGGTCTTTCTGAGTTCTTTGCCTCAGAAGAATTGTTCCTTTTTTTTTCCCCATAGTCAAGAAAGCAGCAAAAGCTAAGAACTGGCATTTTCTTCATTAGGGTCAAGGCACCCCTTGTTAGACTCAAAGTCAAGAACCACTACTGTAACAGAATTGCGTATCACAGTTTGTAACTTTATTGCAAAGTTTTGATATCATGATAGCCATCTAGCCATCTCAATGCAAAATTCTAGAGGAAGTAAGCATTTTGCTACCTTAGTGCTGACTTTGACTAGCAATGTTATCTTTTTTCATCTGGGGCGGGTCTTGAGTAGTTACATCATGGAAAAACTACCTGTAGGAATTTACAATGTGATAATTCATGTTTCATTTATGTAGATAATTAGTACTGTTTCTTTAACTGAAAATGGAGCTGCAGCTCTTGGAAATGTTCTACAAGGGTTTGGCACTCATGGCTTATCCTTAGCTGCAGCATGGATTTAAATCATATTCAACTGTTTGATAGCATTTGTTACTTTAATGAACCTTTTTGTAATCTTCAGAATGAAGATTACCTTTAATGAATGTATCTTCAGAAAAAAACACTGGCAACTTTATTAAGTTGCCTCTAGTACTTATATTTTAGATGCCTAATTTAACTTCTAGTGTTGAGCTAGTGGTTTACTCTCTTCTAATTATTAAACACTTTCAATTGTGGCAGGTTTCATAATTGGTCTTAAGGGAATGCAGCAAAACCTAGCTCCAGATTTCAGGAAAAGAGTTGAAACTATAAAATGTACCTGTAATCCCCTTTTAATAGAGTGAATAGCTTAGTAAGAGATGCTATATACCATCAGTAACTAATCCCTATTGGTAAAACATGTATTCCTTGTTTTATAGAGATTCAGACAGAACATTGGATATTTTTGATGAAAAATCACATCCTCTTACAGTAAGTGACATCTCTTGAGTCTCTTTCTTTTTAGTTCTGTGTTTTCACCTTGATTGGCCTTGCATGTGAGAGAGAGCATGCATTAGTATCCAGGTCCAAAGAGTAAAATCTTTTTTTTTAATTACTCTGTACTCAGTTCACCAAACAAAGATATGACTATCTCTTCTGACCTTCAGAAGCCAGTTAGTTCCTGAATAAATTTGCATATCACGTGCTTTCTTTCCCTTTCCCTTTGGTATCTGTAGAATAAGATGAAACAAAATGCATTGTAATGAAGGTTTGATATTTAGGGGCTTATCATGTTGCTTCCACACTTTTTTTTTTTCTCGCCATTTTCCTCCTGTCTGTTTTAGTGCTACTTTATGACAAGCAGTTGGTTTCCTAGTCATTTAGGAAGATGTGTATTTCCTTGAAAACCTATATGTCTACTTTTAAGTGACTGCAAATAGGAGTAAATGGTGTATGAAGCATTACGCAAAGCAGGAGACAGTGAGTCTGGCCTTTTAAAATTTTGCCTTTTCAGATTTGTTAATGTAAATACACTTAGTGCTTCTTACCTTGTAGTGTGGGAGATTCAGCATGTTGTTAGTCTATAATTACAGTCCTGTTTATACAATCTTTAAGGTGCAAAATCTAATAATATATTCTACCTTAAGGCTGTGTGCTTTCTGCTGGTAGTTGTTGAGTGGTGTCGGGTTTATGACTGCCTTGCAGAGTCCTGATCGTTTACTCATTTTCGTCGGGCATGAATTTAGTTGAGCCTGTTATAGTTCAGATGTTTTAAGCAGATGATGGTTAATTTATCTGCCAGACGCTAAAATGAAGTGTTAGAGTTAACATAACTTAAGTGCTACAGTTTCGTTCTGCTATCTTGTAGGCTCCCTAGAAAGAACTGCATTGTGCTAGGAGCTGCACCTTTAGAATAAAAACAACAGTCCAGCTTTCAAGGTAGATGCGGAGGGGAACGAAACAGAACTCTTGGGCTCTTCTTTTGATGCAGTGTATATATTGACTAGTGAAGGACAAATGTGGGGTTTTTTAAAGTAATTTTACAGTTATTTGTTGGTATCTGTAGCATTGGATTTTGAGCTCTAGTATCAAACTTATTTTGCAAGAGTTTTCTAAAAATACCATACACGAGGGTGTTCAGTACAAAGGCGTTGAGTCCCTGTTGTGAGATGGGTAAAACGTTCTCAGCATCTCAGTTCTGTTCCTGTGGACAGATTAATGGGTGCTAGGACCCAGGCACTGTCACCACTTTTCCCTGCGGTGGTATATGGGGAGAGTGTCCACAACTGGTGCTCATCCCTGCAGCAGCAGGGGAAAGCAACTGCTGATGAAACCCTCTGCAACTACAGGGAAAAATGCCAACTGTGGGCACTTTCCTTGTGCAGCCACTGGGAAAAGCAGTGGTGGTGGCAGCTGGATCCTAGTGCCTGCCCATCTCTAATACAAACTGGGTCAGTTCTGCTGCTGCAGGCCCATGTCTGTGGGCCAGATCTGATCTGGGCCGTAGTTTGGCAACTCTTGACCTAAGCCGTTAAAATAGTTTGCTCCTCCTTGATTTTGGAGGAGCAGACTGCTCCAAATCAAGGGAAGTCCTTCCTGAAGGAACTACACCAACAGATTAATTACTGACTTTATCATGTCCAGTTTCAAGTATGCCCAGGTTTTTTGGGTTTCTTTCCCCCCCCATCACTCTCCCTGCCCTCCAGTCAGATTATTTGTTGCTCACTTGCTGAATTTGCTGCTTCAGGATCATCAGCACTGTGTTGTGCTCCAGTAACCTTTTGAGGAATCCTGATTCTATGGCTCAGAAATATCAAACTTGCTTGGGGCTCCAGACCAGATCCAGTCCATAGGGCTCCTTGAAGGCCAGATACAGCTCAGGATGTAGGGGATTGCGACAGTGGCCACTGCAGTAGAAGCAAGAGGCCTGGTGACAGCCATGTTCAGCAG